AGAAATACTGTATGTTTTTGTTTGTGAATGATATCGTAATATATCTCAAAACATTAATCTTCATTATGAACAGTTCCAAAAAGTAGAAGGAAATTGTGCAAATGCAGTTCAGCCGCAAACTTGTTTCATCATTCAATGGAAAAGGGTTTTTAAGAGCATTTATCCCTAACAAAAGATTAACAATACTTGAGTGCAACTTTATTTATCATCGGATAACAGTTATCCACTACTGAAGCGATCGTGCTTTGGGAGAACTAGCATATTCTCGCGCTCCCCACTGGGAGAAAAACGTTGATATGTTTCTCAAATTAAAATTTGGTTCATACTTGGTAGATTAGGTTTTTGCATGCTACAAATGATCTTAGTCGACAGACTTGTCAATTGAAAAGATATAATTACATCGTTCACTTCAATATAGTTGATAGAATAATTCTACTTGCCAAACAAGCCCTTTTCAGTGTTAACTGAAATGCTCCCACAATATTTCATTCTTGAAACCAAGTCGAACTTAGAGCTATTACTCCTGGGTTCTAGTTTGTTGTATATTTTGCAAAAACTGATTATGAAAAGTGATTATGGAGAAAATTCTAAGTCAATTAAAGTTGAAATTATGTAAAATCACAGGAGATTATAAATAATTTACCTTATACACACACACACACAAATTATCCAAAATCATGATTTGAAATTAGTTGGAATGATTTTTTTTTATTCTTTTGATAAGTAGGAAGTTTTGAATTCAAAATCTCATACTTTACCATCCAATCCAATCCAATCCAACCCTTACCCACTGGACTGATTAAATGAGAACAAGCCTCGTGTCATACTGAGACTAACGACAAAATATGTCACGTCTACAAATACGAATGTACAAGCTGTCAAACACTAATAAAATCTTACCATCCAATTCGATCTTTTCACCCGGAATGATTAAATGAGAACAAGCCCTCTATCATACTAAGAATGTATTTGATAAAGCTGAAATTTGAAAATTGAAATTTGAGATCTAAAATCTAGAGTTTGAATCCATTAATTTATTGAATTGTTAAATACTAAATCTGATACATTTGAATGTATATTACATTAAGTGATAACTGAATAGATCATCACTTATTTTTGGGAGTAAATTTTATCTAAAAAATAAAGTGCCATTTAATTAATTTAGATATTCAATTTTTGCTTATCAAACAAATTTGAGCATGTTAAAATTTGAATTCAGTAAATTTAAGTGCTGAATTGATTTATCAAATAGAGCCTAAGACTAAAGAAAAAAAAATATAACATCTACAAACACGAATATACAAGCTGTCAAACACTCATAAAACAGTAGTTTATTTGGATTACACATTATTTGCACGTTATTTACACATATTGATTTGTTTGCATTATTAATACATTTTTCAATCAATTTTCTATTTTACAAACATCACTCTTATCGTCCAACTCAATTCTTCCCCCTAGAATGATTATATGAGAACAAGCCCTCTATCACACTAAGACTAACGACGCAACATATAACATCTACAAACATGAATATATAAGGTGTAAAACAATAATAAAACCTTGTCGTCGAACTTAGTCCTTCCTTCGGAATGATTAGATAAGAATAAACCCCCTAGCATACTAAGACTAATGACAAAATATATATAATGTCTAGAAACACGAATACACAAGCTGTCACACACTAATAAAATCTTATATTCCGACTCAATCCTTCTCCTTGAAATGATTAAATGAGAACAACATCATACAAAGACTAACGACAAAATATATATAACATTTAGAAACACGTATATACAAGTTGTCAAACACTAATAAAACCTTATCATCCAACTTAATCCTTCCCTTGGAATGATTAAATGAGAACAAGCCCTCTATCACACTTAGACTAACGACGAAACATATAACGTCTACAATTACAAGTTATCAAACACTAATAAAACCTTATTGTCCAACTCAATCTTTTCCCTCGAAATGATTAAACAAGAACAATCCCTCTATCATACTAAGACTAATGACAAAATATATATAACTTCTAGAAACACGAATATATAAGCTGTCAAACACTAAGAAAACCTTATTGTCCGACTCAATCCTTTTCCCCAAAATGATTAAATGAGAACAAACCCTATATCATACTAAGACTAACGACAAAATATATAGTGTCTACAAACATGAATATATATAAATATATATATATAAACTGTCAAACACTAATAAAGTAATGTATAAAAAGTAATGTATTTACGTTAAATATTCTTATATGGAAATTTTTAATCAATTAAAGTCCTTTTTTTTTAAAATTAGGTTTTCATCTTTTGTTCTCTAATTATAAGAGGAAATAATTGGGTTTATGAAGCAATGCATGCAGCATTGATTGTTTGCAAATTGATTTCAGGTCAACATCGGAAGAAAATTGTTCAAAGGTGGTTATGCAAGCTTATGTACTAATCAAATATTGTTTAAGAATAACTTTCGATTAAAAAAGGGTTAATTTCATTTTGCATCCTTCAACCATATCCAAAATCTTACTTTAGTTCCTAAACTTTAAAAATGAACACTTTAGTCCTTAAATTTAAAGTTTGTTTCACTTAAATAACATCATTAAGGAAGTGAGAGAAATTTTATGGCTTAGTGGGTATACTTAAGAACTAAATTGAAGCAAATTTTGTACTTTAAGGGCTACAATGGACAAGTACTCTACTTTAGAGACTAAAATATGACAAATTTTATAATGTAGGAATTAAAGTATCATATATTAAAGTTTATGGATTAAAGTGAGAATTCGGGTATAGTTAAAAGGTACAAAGTGGAATTTACCAAAAAAAAAGGTCGGAATATAAGATGAAAGAAATTCCGATTTCCATTGGATTGTACGAAGATTGTGCCCATCATGCAAATGTATCGAACTAATACCTATAAGTGAAAGCTTGCTTTTTGAGTTTTACATTCGCAAGACAGTCATTTTAGCTTTTTTTTTTTTTTTGTTGGGAAATTCAGGGAAACACGTGTAGTTTTGCAACAAAATGACAATGCACGTAGAGATAAGGTGGCGTTTGTTGGGATGAATAATCATGTGATGCAAGCCACAGCTTTACATAATTTTCAGTGGGTTACAATAGACTGTCTCTGATTGAATGGGGTTATTTTTTGATGTTACAAAAGTTCCTGGTAGAATATTTTATGTTGGTGAAAACAAGCGTGGAAAGTCAAAAAATGTCGTCCAATTTTTAATGAAGTTGCGAAGAACGACTTCAAAATGCTAATTTCCACTTCAATTCATTTCGTACTCAATATTTTTTTTTTCCCGTTTAGATAAATGAAAATGCCTATAAGGGCAACATATTTTTGGTTGTGAGCAGATTCAATTAACTACTATAATTATTCCAAAAAAGAAAATAAAAAAAAACCTTATTTTGGTTGTGAGCCATGCATGAATCAACTCGAAGACATCAGGTATCTTTGGATGGTGAATTTTTTTTTATTGCATCATAAATATGTTTTTTAATTTATTTTTTTAAAACACCTTTTCTTTTGTATCTCGCGTCACAAAAACTTCTACTGTATTATTCTAAAAGTTTTATTCAATAATCTTCTATCCAAATAAACCTATTGATTTTCAATATGACCGATATATTTATGTGATAAAAGGACGAAACTACCCTTATCGCACGCCACGAGCTCCAAAGTCCAATCCATTGTTCCAAAATTTTTTTTTTTTTTTTCCTTTTGCCCCTTAAAATCAACCAGCTACTCTAAACTAAAGCCTCCTTAAGACCAAAGCAAGCAGCTGCTTAGGCCCAATGCTAGAGATTGGATCGGGTGTTAATAATAAATATTATGATGGTCCCCCTTATGATAGCACGCGGGGTATATAAGGGAAGTAATCAAAGTGCCAAATCTCCAACTTTTGGAGAAAGGTTGAGAACATAGACAGCGTGATAATAGACAGCGAAATCAGTACTGGTTACAAATACCAATTACCAAAGCCTAATAACAACAAAAGAAGGAAAGGAAAAAACTTTAATAACAAACAAAAGAAGGAAAGGAAAATACTTAAAAACTTGGCAGCCAAGATTAGAATTAAAACTAAGAGCACAACAAAATGAAGAGATGGCGGGTAAATAATGAAATTTTGCAAATTAAAAAGCTTTTATTGCAAATTCTTTCTTTTTTTTTTCCCCTTAAACTTTCTTTGCGACACAAACTGCCCCACATATATCTTGAACAAGAAAATCTGCTAAAATCAAGTTTTCTTACTTATTTGGGCTCTCCATTGAACTTCAAAACAAGCGACTTATACGTTAGTTTCTTGTGCTTCTCTTTATCACTCTCTCGGGAAAAACGCTGTTTGGGAGGGAAAAAAGTGAAAGAAGGCCAGAGGGGATTCTTTGATTATATGTTGTTTGGCACTGGGATTTCGGGTTGCATTCATTTGTCTGGAGTGTCGAAGCACCTCTGGCTTCCATTTCCCTCATTGGCATTCTCTGCCTTTTGCCCAAGAATTTGTCTCTCTCAGAGCCAAAAACAAGTCATTCCCTCATCTTCCATGCGTTTAAGACCAGAAAGGTATGGCCTTTTTCCCACTATTTTGTACTTATACGAGGATCATCATTTATTTATACAATCCTGCATGTTTGTTGTGCACTTGCAACTCTGGAAAGGTTGATAAAAGACTTAATTTTTTTTTTCTTTCTTGCGTTTGTTTTTGTGGGTTTTAAATTCTTCTTCTAAAAATACAAAAGAAATTGATATGTAGCGGTTTGAGGGTTTAAGGGGTTTTTTGTTGTTTGTTTTAAATGAATGCAGGACTTGTTCTGGAATGGCATACTATGGGGCTTTTCATATAAAGGCCTGTTGCTGCTTTTCAATTTTTTGTGTTTCTTGGGACTAGTAACAAAGATCATTCAAGATATTCAGAAATCGGAAATCTTTTTTGATCAGTTCTCTTCAGTCGGGGTTTTGGCAGGGTTTATCGTCTGCGGCTTTGCCTGATAGATTCTCTTCTGTGATATGCCATTGTTCAGTGGTGAATGTTAAATCTAGTTGATATGATGGATAAACAAGAAAATAAAGATCAGAAAGTTAGAAACATGGAGGAGATTTTGAAGTCTGTTAAGAGAATTAGGATCACTTATACTGATCCTGATGCTACTGATTCTGATAGCAATAGTGATGATCAGTTCAAGGACCGGCGTAACAAGCGGAAGGAGATTGTTATCAATCGTGATCTTCCTCCAGGGAGTCCATGCGTTCAAGCTCCTAAAGAGCATTTTGCAAATGCATACAGGATTTCTTGCAACATTGGTGAATTTAGCAAGAAATCGCAGAAATCATCATCAATGTACAAAGGTGTAAGGAAAAGGAAATGGGGAAAGTATGCCGCAGAAATCAGAGACCCTATTAGAGGTAAAAGAGTGTGGCTTGGTACTTATGATAATGAAGAAGATGCTGCTAGAGTTTATCAGGCAAAGAAGCTCGAGTTTGATAGGATCATGGCTGACAGGAAGGCAAATTTGAGTTCTTCTGGAGCCTCAGCTGTTGAGGGCTCTGTGGCTTGTGGCTCTGCATCAGAGGAGACTAATGCTCTGTGTTCACATCCATCTCCATCATCTGTTCTTGAGATATCTACATCAGCTCCCATGGCAAAGGAGTCTCTCCAGGCAGGTGGTGGAGCAAAACTTAATAGAACGGAGGATGTTGAGCCACTTCTCTCGGGATCTACGGAAAATGGATTGATCTTGCCATTGGTTTGTCAGGATTTCAATCCCAGGCCTGATGATGGATTGTTATATTGTAGTAATATGGGAAAGCAAGCCATTTCAATATTAGTGGAGGATGCATCGAGAGAGCAGCCTGTGGTTAGCAGCATCAACGAACCATCTGATTTTAGCCATGCAATAAAGGAAATGGAAGGATGGCAACCTTTCTCGAATAATCAATCAGTTAACAAAGATTCTATTCTGAACACTAAGGATCAATTATTCAATGGCAATAATGCAGTGGGCCTGGAGACCTCAACATCCCCGGCTGATTCACCGGTGCCACCTTCAATAAGTGCACATCTCAATTTTGAGGAAAATTTGCGATATGACAATGATTTGAAAGAGTTAGGCTTTGAGGAGAATTTGACATATAGTAATCGTTCAGATGAACCGTTTGATTGTCTCAGTCAAGACATTTCTATGGGTCAACCAGAACTCGATGAAGAGGAGATTGCTTGGTTAAATAAGGACCTGTTCAATGATGACCAATTCTGTAATTAGGATTGAGTTGTCCAAGTATTTCCGGTAAATAATCACAAAAAAATGTAAATGAGGAATGGGGGCTGTTCTTGGATGGATCTCTATGGTCATGGAGCCATCCCAGATTTTTCTTGAAGTCTCCCCAGTGCTTGTGCACTGTTAATGTAGCCAGCTTTCTTCATGGCTTTTAGAAGTGAAGTATGTTATGAAGAAATGAGAAAGTAGAAGAAACTTAGTAAGAGTTGCATTTCTGTGAGTCCCAATTTGTGCACCTTTTCACATTGTGGTGGTTTGATTCTTGGTGGAGGATGTGGAACGCAGCTAATTCTTTGTGCATGCCTTTAAAACTTTTTTCTTTCTCATGTGTTCTATTCTGGCCTTTTCCTAACTGATGCTTTTGTCCCACAAGCTCTAGAAAAGTTAGATGACAGGAGCCATCGTAATTAAGTTGACTTTGGGGAAGAGAGAAGTTTCTTGGGCCACAATTTTTGACAATTTTTTTTACTCCTCCCCCTTTCATAACTCACAGTTTTTTGTATGAGTGTTTCGATAAATGGACCCTGCGAAGACACTTCAAAAGCCGGCAACTTTTGAAGTGCTCCGCAGCACTTAACTACTAAACCCCCCAAACCCCCCCAAGCGATGTGGGAACTTAACCCCACAGGGTGCCCTGCTGCTAAGAAGTAAAGACCCCCCAGACTCCCCGAGACAGGTTTTTCCCTTTCATAACTCACAGTTTTTTGTATGAGTGTTTCGATAAATGGACCCTGCGAAGACACTTCAAAAGCCGGCAACTTTTTAGGGGATGTCTTCAGAGCTTGCAATTTTTTATTGCAAGGTAAAAGCAAAAGCAAATGTCATCTTTTTGCATTTCATCAGTCTGTCCAATTTGTCAGAATCGAGAAATTTTTACTAGCCTTTGAAGCATATACTTTTTTAATTTTGTTCCTATAGACCTTTTTTTAAATTTTTTTTTAAAATTCATACTACCACATTGCAAATACTTTATGAGATTAAGAAGCTGTTTAAGAGTGAGATACTTTAGATAATAAAGGTACTTTTGAACTATTTAGTGAATATAACTTATAGATTTAAATGTAGAGCTTTTGGTGTTAAGAGTTGTTTTAGCAATCGTTTAAATTTGGTGCTTTCAGAATAATTGTGTGAGTTTTAAAAAAAAATAAAACATACACTTTAATCACTTTTTCACTATATTATGAATTCAATGAAGAGATAAATACATTTTAAAAAATTTAAAATTACACATTATCTAAAACAATAACCACTTATCGAAGTCCTTGAATTATTTTTTAAAAAGCCACCACAACCCTAACATTTAGTCCAAAGTTTAGCATGGAAAAGAGTCGGCAATATAAGATAGACTTGAATCCGAGCATTTTCTTTAGAATTTAGTATTTTTACTTTACCACGCAATCAAAGCTTTTATCACTTTTTTTTTTCTGGGTGCGTGTTAAAACTTAAAATGCTTTTCTCTGCTTGATACTGAATTACTGTCTACCGAGGTTCCATGAGATGGTATTTGAGCACAGAAATTGGAAGTTTCAAATATGCAAAGATTTCCCTTTTATCAAAAAAAAAAAAAACTTTGTTCTGGTGAGGCGATTGAGAAAAATTAAGCCGTCAATTTGAACCTTAATGCCAACCGCTTGGACCGACATTTTCCGAAAAACTTGCAAAGGTGGACTTTGAAAAGTCAAAGCTGAAGCCAACAACGGCGACGACCGACAAAAAAAACTTTTGAATTTGGGGCGCAATTTTTGTGGAAACGATCACTTTTGTCGTCGTGATATTCTATTATTGTTTTTATCGGATACTCTGTCGCGTGGAAAACAACTACGAATTGGTAGTCAAGAAGACATTTAATTCCTTGCAGCCACGTTTCAATCGCATTACAAAATCTGGGCATGAGCCCTTTAGTTTAGCACCTGTTTAATTTGACAGAGATATGTATCATCCTTTCGATATAAAAAATGTATCATTCAACACAACTGCACCTTTTTCCCTCAAGAAAGTAACGTATCGCTTGCTTAATAGATGATGAATATCCATTTTCTTTTGGATAAAGATTAAAAAAACTACGCCTGGCTAATCCTATGACTTTTAAATCAAGTAGTTGCAGTCATAATGTTACAATTTAAGCTACACCCTACACATTGTTCTTCCAGCAAGATACCGCCGCAACTTCTGCTGTCTGCGCATCCTGATGTAAGGTGAGGATGTTTCTGTGTATGACTGCAGAGACAATTATCAAACGTCTCGTTCTGCATAATCTCTGCAGCAGAAGTAACAACATGCTCGAAAAGATAGCACAGGATGTGGGAAGTCATTCCTCAGTTCCATGATCAGCAAAAGCAAGTTCGCATGCCAGAGCTAGATGATCACTTCCCCATCTCTGCAAAATGGAATTATGCTTAATGCGACAGAAAACTGCAATTCTGTCAACCTTGGGTTGATGAATGTGTGTAGGTTTACCAGAGAAGATAGACCGACATGCATTGATGATTAAGCTTCTAGTGCAGAACAAGCCACAACATGTTTTGTCAAGTCCAAAAATAGCCTGCAGGTAAAATTAAAGATACCTTGCTTGGGAGTCCACCTGTTTCCTTCAATCTGTTGATGGGCAATGTTTCAAGAACTTTGACAGGAAGAAGCTCGCCTGTATGCCTGCATCAGCTCATGTCGTCTGACAACATATTTTACACTGCAAAAAATGCTTCGGAAAAGATGCCGAACGGGGGGAGGAGGAGAAGGAAAGTAAAATGTCCAGAAAGCAAACAATAATGTCCTTTCACAGGAAATAAGAGTACCATATATAATCAACAGTTCCCATGAATTTGGAGTGGTATGATGTTGCCAAGGGTTCTCCGATGTTATTCCTGCTTCTAGTGCTTCCCTGCATAAATTCAGACAAAGAAGTATTACAAGAGAAGAATTTCTCGGACATCTCATGTAACACAATAAGGTGGCAATTTTCTAATAAAGTTACATCTTTAATAAGCTGAATCGTGGTTATGCTATTCGTCTGGAAATTGAAGAGCTCTAGTGCTTCATGCATGAAAGTTAGAAGAAAGGATTAAAATCTTACAGGAACTCCTACATAAGCACTGCATAATTTCAATGGGTGCCTCACGTGACTAACTGCAGATCCAGCGGCCAGCCTAAGTTCATCTTGACTCCATCTATGCATTAATGGCTTTTTTGATGAATAAAAACTGCATGCCAAATTTCACTATTAGTTAAATAAAATCTACAGTTGCTCAATATTAAGGAAAAAGAAAAAAATTATTTCAATCATGCAAAAACTCAAATCTAAATTAAAGTGGTATAGTTGCAGGGCCTGGTGTCCAAGCTGAAATGCACAATAACAGATTAGGTGACATATTTTGTGCTCACGAGCACCCTCAGCTAAGTTGGGCCTTGCTTGGATTCAGAAAATTTACTAAATTAGGCATAAGTTTCTTTCAAGTTTGATTCATTCAGTACATTTATGCCAACCTTAAATTAGCAAATATAATGACCTCTTCACAAGCATTCCATCATTTGGAGCCCTTTAGGCCTTTCACCCTCTTTCTAGTGAATGCGGATAGCTCTGCACCACTCGTGATGACAAATACACATCAGAATCAGCTGGCCTTAATGGAGAAGCCAACTAAAAAGGGACTCTGTCCAATTTCCATGTGCATGAATGTTTTCTAGTGCCAAAGCAATAATAAACAGAAAGCTCCAAGCATACCTCGCAGCATGGCTACTCCTACAGTGAAAGCCTGGGTCCTCTAGTGGACAAATCTGGCCAGATATTTGTTTTCGATCATGCTGTTGGACATCCAACTATAACAATTTGAATTAATGTAAAGGAAAAAAATTACAATGATTACAACTGTTAAAAAGACAAAAACAAGTAAATGAAGGAGCTAATAGCACTGCCTGAAAATTGTAGGACGATAAGTGGGGGAGTCAAAGCTCACCTCAGATGAAGTCAGAAACTGATACATAGCACTCTGAGAAGAAAAACAGTGGAAAACATCTAATAAGCTGCAAAGGTAACATATAACTTGAAACATAAATTGGAAGTTTAGAAAGAATCTGAGAAACAAATATATATATTTTTTGGTAAGTACCTGTGGCATACTATTGAGGTCCCCAGCAATCACAACTGGTATGCCACCCCATTCTTGTGATAGTTTATGAGCCTTTTCAAGAAAAAGTCGCATCTGAAAAAATCTGCAGGTCATATTCTGATAGATATATTGAAATAGTGGAGATTTTAAGTGTACAGCCAAAAAACACACAAATTTGCATCATTATCCTCAGTACATAAGCATATATCAAAGGGCACCATCAGTAGTATAAACAAATCCCAGATGTAGAAGAACTGCTTTCTGTAGTTAACTGGAAGAAAGAGGCCCCACTCACGACAATCAGAAAAAGCAAAGAAGTTTTACAGTATCCGAAGTACCCAAATGAAAAATCAGATATGAAGAGATGAAGCAAGACAAGAAGAGACAGTTCAGCATACATCTAAATGAATAGCCACACTGTAAATAATACATCTGCTCATCTTAGTTAGATACAATCTCCAGAAGAATTAGAGTAAATTGGAAGACATGGGTGCAGGGAAAAAGAAGAAGGTACCTGGCCTAGTTTGATGTCTCCACGGCTTGGGTTGAATAGTACATGTACGTTGCCAACAAGAAAGGTTCTGGAGGATGAATATCTAAATGCAAAAGACAATATTCAAACATTAATTATTTGAAGAAACTGTAGACCACAATATAACAAAAGTCAAAACTTCAACCCAGTAAAAAGGGTAGACCCTAGAAAGATCCCAGCAACCATAATTTATCTGTGTGCTATTGCACTAAATACAGGAATGGAGCACATCTACACCTACTTTGGTGCTTGAGAATTCATGTCCATAAGCAGCTGGCTTTGGTTCATCTGGGTAAATACAGTAATTCAGATCATCAAAGTAAGGTTCAGAAACATGAAGAGAAACAATTGATCACCCGAAGCATACTACTGTTTTACACCAAAAATCTATCCAAGAACTTACATGTCTAGTATGAAGTTAAAATTTTTTATGAATCACTTTATTGAGCTTACTCTGAAAATACAAAGCTGCGAAACATTATTGCGAAGTCCAAAAGTCTGGAACTCTATGCTTTCTTCATGCAATAGGGTAAACCTGTGACAAAATATATTTCTCTTTGTCAGATGTTTTAAAGCATAAATATCAGTCCTCAATGCAGGCATTTGATAACAGTGCAATTTAAAGAAAAAGAGAAAACAGGATAAAAATTCGGATCCTAATGACTAACTTAACTCCTGCTCACCCCACCCCCTTCCCCTGAGGCACAGAAAGGGCCTATTTGTGCATTCTGTAATCTATTTAAAAGCAGTTGCACCAATAAGATGTTACAGGATTATCAGATTCAAACATATCTCCGAGTCTACAAGCTGGATCATTCATTAATGTAAGTTCAAGTAAACTACAAGCAAGCAGGAAAGAGGTGTTGAAAGGAAATGCAACAGGACAGAATTAGTCCGTCGTAATAAACAGGGAAAATAAAGTAGCAATTCAGGCAAAGAGAACACAGATCTTACAGTTCAGTATTCCAAAATATAGCACAGCCATCTGAAGCTTCACCAGTTCGCGCCTTTAGAAGAACAGTAGTCACATTCTGAAACTTAATCATCAAGAATTAAACAATTTGCTATAACATAATTCTACTGTACCTTGTATACTCCCCTAAAACCATCTCTTTTAAGAAGATCATCCAAATCATCAAATCTATCAACCTCCTGCACTCATAGGTTTGAGCTGTAAGACTCCCTCAACCTGCTAAATTAATCTCTATCAAACTTGAAAATCCGCCAAAGTCTTACTTTCCTTTGAGACTGTAAAAAAAATATTAAAAGTTCCAAAGTCGAACTACATTATCCTTGATCATACAAGATGCCAAAGCAAGTAATGCTCCAATCTTAAGGTAGAATAACTAATTTAGCTTTTCTGCTTATTTGACTATAAACGTAGTTCACTTGTCCTGTTTCTCATCACCATAATACGAACTGATACCATTGAAGCTCGAAGAGAATAAGAAATTGCCTGAAAACAAATAACTCCTGGCTTGTAATTCTTAATTTCCTTGTGCAAAATCCGCTTCCTATAATCCCAATCCAAATATTTTGGTGAGATATTATTGTACAAATCCGGATGCTTTGCTGCATTTTCCACACCTAAGATATTATATGATACAAAGACTACCCTATCTGCCAAAAACAAAGAAATTAATTAACATTCTAACACAATAGAACTTCAAAAAAAATTCCATTTGAAAAAACATCGTATAAGTACATGAATCAAGTGATACCTTTGCAATATGAGAAATCACGAGTGGAGTAAGTCCACTGGCGATAGTCTCCAGTAATTGGCAATTTTCTTTTTCTTTTCCTACGGTGTTTTTGCTTCCGATAAATCTGATGAGAAGTGAAAGTGGCGGTAGAGACAGTCGAACATCGGGTTAGGGTTAGGGTTTCAGTCTCTGATTCAGTTCCGGTTTTTGGTGCGATTAACTTTTCCTTTCTCGAGGTATGGTGATAATGATGATTCAATTGAGAGGCTTTGCGTTTGGCAGACTTAGGCGGAGGCGATTGCTCCGCCGTCGGAATTCGGCAGTCGCAACCTCGTAGCATATCTGTTAGTATATGCTGCCGCTAGATTTTGAATTTTGGCGGCGGGTGGGGCGAATTTATTTATAAATAGAACTGTCAAGAATCCAAACTGCGAAATTACATTAACACCCTTGAACGTTTTAAAATTTCTGTCATACCCCCATCAAAATGTTTTAAACATGGAACACTTTTACCCCAATACATTTTAAATGGAAACTTCAATGGTCAATGATTGGTTCTTAGTCCTTAGTGCACATTAATAATTTCTGAAATTTGAAAATGCCCACTTTCCTCCGTTCCTTAATTTTTTTTTGGATGCTTTCAAGATTGAGAAGTAAGAAATGCGAAATTTGAAAAAAATACGAATTACTTCTTCTCTTACACTCGATTAAGATGATAGGATAACCTTAAGAAATCAATTTAATAATAGTAAAATGGAGCAAGAAACACATCAACGTATACAAAGGTCACTCGTTATGCACTGTTGATCACTCGTAGACAAAATTGCTAGTGCCCAGTAGTGCTACCTAATTAGCAAGCAAAAGTTTTTTTTTTTTTTTTTTTTATAAAAAAAATGAGACATCACGAACAACATTTGGTTTTCCTATTATTGCTCCTTAATTTTCTCCCACCAATGCATTCAAAATCAGTGATCGAACCCTGTAGTTCTTCAGATTCATGCACTTCCTACCTCTCCTACCGCCTGCCTTCCGATTCCAAGCTCTCCGAGGTATCCTGCAAGTTCCAAATCAACATTTCTGATATCTTAGCCTGGAACTCAGTGGATCATGACATACCAAACCCATCTTCGTGGAACCAAATTATCTTTCCGAGAGGTTCAGTTCTCAAGCTTCCATTAATGTCTTGTCCATGCATCAACGGCATTCGCCGATCATTGTCGACCCTTTACCCCGTCCAGCCTGCTGATTCTGTGGCTTCAATATCAGAAAGCTATGGAGGTCTGGTTAGTGCGGATCTGTTAATAGTATCAATGCAACTCACCCTTTAAGCACGGGAGAGAGCCTTGTGGTTCCACCGCCTTGTGCTTGTTTCAACAACAGTAATTATGGTGCAGCTGCGGTTTACATGTCCTATGTGGTTCAGGTAGGGGGGAATTTGAGTAGTATTGCAGAAATGTATGGCACGACCGCTAGTGATTTGAAGACAGCCTCAAATTGATCCTGGTGACATTCTTGCTATTCCTTTACCTGGTCAGTCCTGCTTACGATTTTTTTCCCCTCCTATTTAAATTTAATGATCCTTGTTTGGAAGAGAGGTTGTGCGAATTACTAAATATTGAACAATAGAAATGTATTGATTTTTTTTTTTTTTGGTATTGAAATTCAGCATTGAAGAATTCAGAAATCTAGGAAGATACTTAGTCGATAATTAGATTTGGACACTAGTTGAGTGCTTGGAGATCCTTTGGAAATGATGGCAACAAATTAATCCCGTGGGGATTGTTGTCGATATTCCAAAGTCAACCATGATTATTTATTTATTTTGAATAGATATTTGATAAATCACTCTTCTATTGTGGGAATAATGCAGCCGCCTGTTCATCAGCAAATCTCAATTGGTACAATGAAAGCCTAATTGTGCCCAAGCATTGACTGCCAACAACTGCATCAAGTGTGAATGTGGACCTACGTACCAATCTCAAGTGAGATACTATATCAATCATCAATACGTCCTTTAAACTGTACTTGTCTTTATTTCTTCATCATTCGCACCTATTTTTGGATGTTGCATGCTTTTAAATGACTGTTAAGAAGAAGTATACGTAAATGGAAGGGTTTGAACCCAGAAAGAAAAATTCTTTCGTTTTTTTCCCCTTTTAGTAAGGGGATTTAAGATATGGGGAAAAGGAAGGAGAATCTGAATTTAAAATATCTAATTTCTGTTATCTTTGTCGTAACTACTAAATCAAGACCTTCTCGATCGGCATCAAAACAGATGAAAAACAATTCTTCAAGCTACAAATCTTTACTAAATGCTTCATCAAATGGGCCATTTGGATAGTGCAAAAGCCATGTGCAACCTTATAGATGGAGACTTTGATGATCAGGTTGCATTGCTCAGAGTCAGGTTTGATGGCATCTTGCCCGCATGTACTTTGCAAAGGATCCAATATTTCTATCGGCGATGCAGAGCAAATACAAACGCCCAGTGGTTGCAATATAACGAAATGCGTCTATCGTGGACATTCTGGCCACAAAATAAACATCTTGCCTTAATTCTTCCTACCATCCTTTACTCGAGAAATTTTTTGCCCCCACAAATCAAATCAACGAAGTTATATAACTCCGTTTTAACTTGTTTCATTCTTGCAGTCTACTGAACTCAACCCAAGTTCAATGCACAGGTAATTCGGGTGAAAACAACTGTACTCGACATTATGTCCAGCTTCGGCCCCCTCACAATCACCGTATTCTGCATTTAATGGGCCAATCGGAAGTATTGCAACTAATAATCCTGCAAGTAGGGAGGTTGCCTATAGAAGCGGTGCAAATAGGAAATTGATAAGAGAAGCTGCATGGTTTTACTCACCGCTTTTGGTGATTGTAATCATCTTCCTGTTACTCTTCTACATTTAGTTCTCACTATTAATTTGTACACTCAGTTCTGATTTAGACTCACTAATTATTTGTCAGTACTCAACATTATAACCTCTATTTTCTTTCCTCTTTTTTTTTTTCATGATTTTGAGGTCATTTGTTCAACCGAATATACATACACATGCACACTGCACGTGTTTGCATGTTTATACAAATTGTGGTCATATTTTGATTTAAATTGATTGGTTATTATGAATAAATTGCAGTACATTCTGACGTATTATTGTGAAGCAAAATTTCAATCTCATGTACTATATATGTGACGATGTTCTGTAGGTTAGAATGGTTACAAATACAAACTTTGTTGCTTTATCTTTTTCGGATTAATATTTCTTATATTAACTAACAGTGTATATACTATCAAATTGAAATTGAAATTTAAATTGAGATGATGTATCATATATTCAAATCCGCTAGTGTACAGCATACACATTATCAGTGTCGGAAATATTAATTATTATTATTTTTTATATATATTCATAATACAAAAATACAAAATTTAACCACCAAGCTACAAGAATCGTTACCCAAAAAAGGAAAAAAATCCCAGAATACTTAAAGCTGTTTAGACTTTACATTTAGTGTACAATTAATCCCCTGTGACAACTGAAAAGAGTTGATTTGGTTTTGGCTTCCCCTCTTTATAATTTCCCTTCTGAATGAACACAAATTAGCGAGTGGAAACGGAAGTACAAAGGGGCCATGTGTACATGAGGGAACTCTTTAAATAAAAAAAAAAAAATTGTTAGAGTTAGCTGATGAACATTGACTTCCGAGTTGAACGTGATTAGCTTCTACTTGCCTGATTTCGGAATCTGTCAAATATTTGTTTTGGCTTTCAAGAGGATGATGATTTAGTGATCCGATCAAAAGCATGACCACAATGGGGGGCCTTCACTGTGTGAGCCTGATGACACTGATTGAGGTTTCTTTCTGACCAGGCAACCACCATCAAAACCTAAATAAATTCCTTGTTCAAGTCCGGAAGATGGAGATAGGCAGATTCTGCATTAGATAACAAGAGTTTTTATTTTGGACTAACATTATCTGGAATGTCTCAAGTTCTTGCCACCCTCTAACCCTGTTGTGCTTTGCCGAAAGTACCATGCAAATCAACGTCTCTACCCATTCAATCATTTTCGGCTATTTGGACAAATCATCCCATATATCAATACAACTAGAGGGTAACCTGGATATGACTCTAACTTGAAGATGCCATACATGATACGTTAAATTGACATGCGTTGATAAATTACGATCGAAAAAGATTTCTAACCTAACCACATAAATAGATTCTTTTTTTTTTTTCAATTGAGGAATTAGTTACAAATGTGAACAAAAAAATTGTTGACTCCTAATATACTTGGTTACCGATTGTTTTAGATTTTTGTAGTCCATCTTCATCTTTTGATTAGGACATTGCATTGAGATTCCCCATTGAAGTAAACATATCCTTGACTCTTTCCTTCAGAACTCCCAAGTATGATTATCTGGGTACGGTAAGAGAAGGGAAACCACAAAACATAATAGAGAGGGGAAAACCACTAATTTCAACAGCACTTTTTTCTTCTTTTTCTTCTTTCCTTTTCTTTTTAAGGCTACATCTTTCTTGTCATTAAAGCCTGACTCGTTTTTTTTTTTCTTGAAGGCAAAAATGTGGTTGTACTTGTAGCTATATTATCCCTCTGTCCTTTCCGGGTTTTGTGGTTTTGATTGTTGTTGAGGTACACAAAATTGTCAAATCAATGATCGTCTCATTGTCAAGATTGCAGAAATACGTTGTGGTACTTGATTGCCTAGTTACGTTTGTGAATCCTCCCCGTCGAGTTTTTTCACCATGAATTTGAGGCCATCTTTTCATGAAACAGACCTCTGCTATTGCATCGAGTGGAGCAGACCCGCTAAAACCATCTCAAGATCTGCATGGCTCTCAAGTTATTATTTGTAATATTGGAGGACATAGACTAGCTAGAATTTTCTCCTACACTTTCAGCTATATTTCATATTTGTCCTGCTTTGATTCTCGACAATATTTCAATTGTTCAAACAAGAATACAAGTTCAATCGAATGATTACATGTGATAAAGAAGCCGGCCAAATATTAATGTCCCAAGCAAAATGGGATACATATAGCTTGGTTGAACAGTCCAATATCTTATTTCTATAGTTGTACATTTAGCTCTGCTTTGTACATTTACAAACGGGACTGTAAGCCTAAAGTGTCTTTTGAGCCCTACTTCTTGATTCTCACAAGTTACAGTATAAAGCAACAGAATAGGAAATAAAATCTAAAATGGCTTAACAAAGTTCGCAATCATTCTCTCTAACACTGCATAAAGTATGAAAATGAGAGGAGGAGAGATAAGAAATTATAGTTGAGAGTAACATCGCAAGAAGGACCACAGGAAGAGGTTTTCA